CACCACATGGATTCACGTTGTTAATCATTTATTTGACCCAGGAGAAGAATATTTTCAGTATTGTAGCATTTGGGGCCAATGAACTGAAATGCATAACTCAAGTCAATCAACAAGGCACGTTTCTGTCTCTACTTGACCGCTACACTGTCTCATGGATGGAAATACATTTTAAATTTCACAATTTTCTTTAGAATCTCTCACAAAAAAGTTTTCACAATTTTCAAAATTAAGAACGCGTTGCAGAATTAATTTTGTATGGGTGACTTTAAATTTAATATAGTAGGGTATATAGTTAATATAAGGCATTTGCTTCATTTTCAAATATTTTCAATTCTTTAATATAAAATTTTGTTTTTTTTTTTTCAAAAAACCAATCTCTTTTGGAAACCTTGTCACCGACTTGTTTAGTTCTTCAAGGTCCAGCAGAACAATATTTTGCACACAATTGTATTTGTGTTGGAATAAACGTCTTTGTGTATTTGTGGCTTGTACTCTGCTACGTTTAAGTATTTGTCGACAGTTTTACAAATAATGTTGACAATTGCTTAAGTCTTTGTCATTGTATGTGTGTGAGTGCCGTTGTGACAATACATTGTGTAGTTGTGTCGTTGTGACAAGCTTTTTATTCTTGGCCATCGAAACAGAACACAGACGATAACATTGCAAACAGTGTAGACTAACAAACATATTGAAGAAGAACACAAAATCAATTTCGCAAAAGACATTGAGAGTTTAGTTATTTTCATGTTGAAATTTTATTTAATCATGATCTGCAAAATGAATGTATATGTTCAGCAAATCCCTTTAAATCAATTATAAGTTTAGTGATTAGTAAGAATGCACCGGATAATTCCAGGATCGAGTTGCTGCACTTTTCATCCATTATACAGGCTTGGTTAAAATATTTGGGTACACAAAATTTACTTCACATCGAAGTCTGGAAAAAATATTACAATGTGTAAAGTTTGGATGAAATCGGTTACATTTTTTACGGACATATATAAATGGACTCCAAATACCCCGAAACAAATTTCATACAAAATTGTCAGAGGTAATACATCTGGAATATATATATGTCTGAGTGTATTGGAAGACGAGCCGAGTCCAAAGTATTTCATCGCAGAAGTTCTTCGAAACAAATAGTCGCCTGTAGATATATTTTTGGTTGGGAAACTTTCCACCCAATGAGAATCCAAAATATAAAATTCGGTTAAAAACCCCACCTACCGAAATTTGGGATATCGCTATCTGGGAGCTATTCTACAAAATGACCGAATATTGATAATTTTTGGGAGGAATATTTCCTACCCAATGTGCATTTGAAGTACCAAATAAAAATCATACCGTAACTCCCTAAAATATCGAATAAAGCGGCTCTGAAAAGTGGACATATATTGATAATTTTTTCTACATAGTGAAAATAAGTACCTAATTATAGCCTTGTGAAGGAGAAGAATTTCAGAATTAATCTAATCTTGGTTGAAATAATAGGTTTTGGAAAATTTGGTTCAACTTGGATAGTCGCTTCACACGATATTAACAAAAAAAAAAAAAAAAATAAAAAAATATATCATATGGTGGTTACTTCCGAGAGATTTATCGTGCACACCAACCAGCCGGACAGACAAACGAACGGACATATGTAAATCGACTCTAAATTGTCTGAAATAAAATATGGTATCTAGGATGAAAAACGTACCCATTACCCAAAAAATTCTGTAATCGGAAAGAACTGTTATATGCGGGATATATGTAACAGTGGACGGATATTGATAATTTTTGCTACGAAATATGTACATATTAAGATTGAAGAAAATTGAGAAGAAGATGATTGAAATTCTCAAAATATCTAATTGTAGGGCTACCGTTGAATGGAACTATAATAGTAGTAAGATTTGACAAAATTGACTAAATTACAGCCAATTCGGTTTAAGCACGTGGTCAAAATTCTCAAAATACCGATAAGGGCAAATATTAATAATTTTAAGTGCGGAGATGTGCAGATACCGTACCTGAAAATTCAAAATACGAAATTAGCCAGTTTGATTGAAAATCGTGTCACAAATCCCCATAGTAAGGGTACAACATTATTGTGGCTACAGTTAAGCGTGGGTCAATAGTAAACATTTTTAGTACGGAAATGTGCTACAAAATGAGAACCCAAAAAACAAATTATAGACAATTCGGTTGAAAAATGTGTCCAAAAACAGCAAAATACCGAGTATTGGGGAGTACCGTTATAACGGCGCTAGCCTGAAACTTGGGTCAATTTTTGGTACATGTTACTCAATGAATAGTTGTGGGGTACCGTTATATCGGGGCTACATCAAAACGTGATTCGATGTATGCCATTTACAATACCAAACATCCAGGGAGTACTAGCAAATCTGTGAGCTCTATATTAAATATCGACTTAGAATATATGCATTGTCGGGTCCCTAGCAAACGTAATGACAAATTTAATAAAAATAAAGGGTAAATTCATGGTCAGTTTGACCCGCTAAATATTGACCGATCTATATCTTTATCCATTGCGGCCTCTGGAGCGACCAGAAAATCAGAAAAAATAAGGTTTTTGGCCCATTTCATCCCCTAAATATTAACCGATCTTTACCAAAAACAATAGGGGTCTTCATTGGCCAGAACCCATCCTACTTGCAAAATTCCTTGAAGATTGTTCCATAACTGCGGCCTCTATCGCGTTTAAAAATTATACAAACTCTTGGGGCTGCACAAAGCCATAATACCCTCACAACATAGTTTTTTAGGGTATAAAAAGGGGGTTTTACGGGGACTACCCCTAAAAGGGGAGAATATAAATAATTTTTGTAGGAAGATTTGTTACCATATACGACTACAAAATACCCAATTACAGCGTATTCAGTTGAAAATACCGAAAAAATACCAAAATACCGAAAATTGGGGGCTACCCTTATATGGGGGATACCCCGAATAAATGGACAAACATTTAACATTTTTAGTGGGGAAATTTGCTAGCGGTCAAACACCCTCAAAAAATTAACCTTTTTTCCTATATTTATAATTTCAATGGAGAAAATTGGTATCCAATAGAAACCGAATGTACCAAATTTCAGCAAATTCGGTTGAAAAGAGTGCTCAAGAACCCCCAAAATACCGAAAATTGGGGGAGACCATTATATGGAAGCTATGCCTAAAGATGGACCGATATAACCCATCTTCGTACTTGACCTGCCTGTAGGAAAAATACCCTGTGCAAAATTTTAGCGATCTATCTCAATTCGTTCTGACGTTAGAGTCATTACAACATAGCATTTTACGCTGATCAAGAATATATATACTTTATAGGGTCGGAAATGATTATTTTGATGAGTTGCAAACGGATAAACAAAATTAATATACCCTCCATACTATGGTGGAGGGCGCTGACCCTTATATGGATGCTACCCAAATAAATATACCTATATTTATAATTTTTAGTGGGGAGATTTGCTAGCCAATAAGAACTAAAAGTACTAAATTACAGTCAATTCGGTCGAAAAATGCGTTCAAACCACCCCCCAAACAATAGAGGGGTACCCTTATATGGGGGCTACCAGCAAAAAATTGACTTATATTTATAATTTTTAGTGGAGAAATTTCGGAAGAAAAACGTGCTCACGAACCCCAAAATACCGAAAATTGGGGGGTACCCTATGCCTAAACGTAGACCGATTTATGCTATCTTCGAACTTGGCCTGCCTGCAGACAAAATACGACTCGGTGCAAAATGTTGGCGATCTATCTCAATTCGTTCTGACGCTAGAGTGATTACAAAAGACAGGCGTACATGCATAGATCTTCATAGAATTGTACGCTGATCAAGTATATACTTTAGAGGTCGGACATTATTATTTTGACGACTTACAAACGGAAAAACGAAATTGATATACCATCCGAACTATGCTGGTGTGTATAAAAATTCACAAGAACTCGAGATAGAAAGAAGATATTTTTTACGAAAATATTCCTCATTCGATTTGGCTGCAGATATGTCAATCTCAAGCTGAATAACCTACAATAGCCATATAAAAGATATAAAGCTTTGTCTTTATAAACTTTAGATATACCAGCAAAAATTCAGATTTTTCTTTTAAGGTTCTTAATATGCCTCCCAAAGGGTTTCGTCTCCATAAGGAAGTTTCCACCCCTTAAATTATTGATGCACTGTGCAATTAGAAATTTCTTAATTTCGTTCTATAAATATTATAGGTGTTAATGTGTAAAATACGACCAAATCTATTTTACCCATTAGATCATCACTTTATATCACATTTCCATAATAAATCGCTATTAAGTTCACATTTCCTTGATTTTTACACCATCGAAATAACAATAACCCAAAAAATGTGTAAAACCAACACAAAAAAATCAAATTTGTTTTTTGTTTTATATGACTTTGAAAATATATAATTTGCATATTATGGCCTGGATGCGATTTATGACCATAACATTCTTCGTTCGTTCGTTTTTGTTTTTGGTCTTTGCGGAACATTTACAATTTATAATATAAAATAAAATAAAAAGGAAACGAACGAAAAATAAGTGACTTTAATGGCTGCAAAATATCCGATGGTGTCTTGCAGCAAATGTTGGAAAATATCGGTTAAGTTGTGACTGAGGAGAAGAAGAAGAAGAACGACAACAACAAAAAAGCTGTTTGCACATATCTCAAGTATTTTATGATTGCATTTTATTGTTTTCTCTGTCTCTCGTCTTGCCAGTCGGCCTTATGTTCGAATATTTTGTATCTGTGGTGAACACGCACAGCCTCCAAGTATGGCCTTGTGGGTGTTGTGTGTTGGTTCATAAAGTTGGGAATTGTTTATGTGCATCATCCCCACCAAACCACCTCATGATTTACCCTGACTTTATGATTATTCATGTGGCTCGTTGTTGTGCGTTTGGTGGTAATGGTTACCATGGGGAATTATTGTGTATGCATGCTCATGGCATTGTGTGGCGTCTGGCCATTAACTTACCTCTAGCTCCTGGCAGGGCTCAATGACTTGCAAGGACATAACATCCAAATGATTACCGGATATATTCAAATAACGTAAATGTTTAAATGGATTTAACAAACCAACCGGCAATATATTCATATCGGCAATCGAAAGATGTGTCAGGTGCGGCAATAGCTGTAAACAGAAATAAAAAATAAATAAAGACAACAATGAGTAAAACCCGAAAAAAGGAAAACGAATTGAAATTGGTAAATATCCTTAAATAAAATAATAAAATAAATATGTACAGTATGTGAAAATATTTTTGTAATGGATGATATCGTTTTGTATGGTTTTAGGCAGCTTCTTGCTTCCTTGCATGGCATACAAATCTTGAAAAGTTAAAAAAAAATAAAATGTTTACAGGATTTTATTTCCCCCATTGCTAAGAGGATGATGTTGTTGTTTTTTCTGTGTGTTTAACTCCATATGGGATTTGTAAAAAGTTTATTGTTAACCTTTCTCACCGTATTGTATAATTTTTTTATGTTTTACCAAAAAAGGTACCTTGCTCCCTTCCCCCCATCCCATGTAACATGGGAAAACATATTTAGCTTTCAATTTGCCAAAAAACGGTTTGAAATTATATTGAGTGAAATTTTATTATTAAACACACACAAAATGTTCTCGTAAAGACTTTTGTGGTTTTGCTTATCATTGGGCATACATACATATTATTTAATTTGCTGGTATTCCAACTGAGATTAGGTTAAGGAAAAAATAATATTATTTTATTGTCATGTGGTTATTAAAATTGAGTTTGATTTGAGGATCATTGGTTTGTGGAATTCGTGGTTGGAATTTAAATATTTTTATAAGATATACCCGAGTATCAAATGAAGTAAAGGATACGTATGTCTATATTACGCCATTATCAACGAATCTGTGTGAAATTTTAGTCTATAACGAAGTTTGTGGATATGGTCTGGGTGTTCGAAAAAAAAATATTTTGAATATGAATGATGTTAAGAACTCAGAAGAACTAAATTCAGAATTATGGCGTGTTCAATTTTTATACCCTTCACCACACTGTGGTACGGGTATTATGTCTTTGTGCATATGTTTGTAACAGGCAAAAATAATCGAGATAGACCCATGGTTCCTTTTGAGAATATTCACAGAATCACTTTCTGAGTCGATTTATGCATGTCCGTCTGTCCGTCCGTCCATGTATTTTTGTTAACAAAGTACAGGTCGCATTTATGATCCGATTTGGATGATATTTGGCACAGGTCAGTTAATTGGCCTAGGACGAATCCTATTGAAATTAAAGAAAATCGGTCCACGTTTAGGCATAGCTCCCATATAAGGGTACCCCCAAATTTTCGGTATTTTGAGGTGCTTGAGCGCGTTTTTTAACTGAATTCACTGAAATTTGGTACTTTGAGTTCTTATTGGGTAGAAAATCTCCCTACCAAAAATTATAAATAAAGGTCAATTATTACGGGTAGCCCCCATATAAGGGTACCCCCAATTTTCGGTATTTTGGGGGTTTTGATCGCAGTTTTCGACCGATTTCGCTGAAATTTGGTGCTTTGAGTTCTTATTGGGTAACAAATATCTCTACCAAAAATTATAAATAAAGTTCAATTTTTTCGGATAGCCCCCATATAAGGGGACCCCCAATTTTCGGTATTTTCGGGTTCTTGGGCTCGTTTTATAACTGAATTCTCTGAAATTTTGTAAATTGCGTTCTTATTGGGTACCAAATTACTCCACTAAAAATTATAAATACAAGTCCAGTTTTTCTGGTAGTCCCCATATAACGGTACCCCCAAATTTTTGGTATTTTGGTATAGTGAACAATTTCGGTCGTTATAAGCGATTTAAATTCTTATTAAAGGAGATATATAGTGTTCGTCTAAAGTATTTACTATAAAAATATATACATGTACGGGAAAAAAATAATAATGTCAAAATTTGAATCCGAGAATGGGAGGCGATCCCCTTAATATACGTAATTGTACCCTTAGCCTTATTTCTAGTTCGAAGATGGGAAATATCTGTCCACTCCTTCTGCTACCAACCCCACAAAATGGTCAATATTGTGCTAAAAATAAATTTTAATATTAGTGAACGGACTATACGATTTGAACCAAACTTTGTAGTCTTTTAAACCGTAGATCAAGTCAGAAAATGGGACCCATTAGTCCGCTTTTCCCTTGATCCATTCCTTCTGGTGTCTCCCTCACAACTGGTAAAAAATGTCCATATTTGTCGATTTGAAACAAACTTTGCACAACCTAGTATCTGTACTTATTTTAGAACAAGTCCGAAGGTGAGACCCGTCGACCCTCTTCTTCTGGTACCTCCCCCACAAAAGGTCAATATCTTATAAACATACAAATTTAATTTGAAGCGAATTGGATAACCGATTTGATTAACATTAAATCCGAAACTTCTTTCATAAAAACGTATACCGACATACGATACATTACAAAACTACCACAAAAATCTAATTTTTTCGGTTGTATATTCTGTGCCTAGGCAATATTTCACGATATTTGCACCCTCTTCAACAGTTCCACTTTCTTACGCTGCCATGTTTTCCAAATTCCAAAAAATTGTATATTAATTTAAATCAACCACTCCTCTTGGATATAGTATCAACTTCTCGGGTCCTATCTCTTTCAGGAATAAATATATACCCCATAGAATACAAATTTTGTAATTTTTCACACAAAAGTCTGGGTGCATTTGACAGAGTAAATATTGATCGATTTCCATCAAAGCAGTCATGCCATGGTCTGACACCTTTCTCCGTGTAAAATTTCGCGCTGTTCGGGTCATACTTGTAGATAATACAAAAAACAATCTTACCAAAATTTCGTATCGATTGGTCCATAACTGTGGCATGTATCGTGTTTAAAAATTGTAATAGACCCACATGTCTAGATCGACTCAGATGTATGTGAAATTTTGTTGGAATCGGTTCAGATTTAGATATAGCTGCTATATATAGTTTCGTGCCATTTTATGTAAATGGTGCTCCATACTGCCAATATTTATCCGATTGAGACACAATTTTGCACAGCGTACTTAATTAGGTCATTGATGAATGCGAAGTATAGTTGAAATCGGTTCAGATTTAGGTATAGCTCCCATATATAGTTTCGTCCGATTTAAAGTAAATAGTTCACCAAACTCCCAATATTGTTCCGATGAAGCAAAATTTTGCAAAGAGTACTGAATTAGGTCCCGACTGATGTATGCGAAATTTCTATATCTACAGGATATTGTAGATATTAACATGTCTTGCATGTACCCATAGTGGTGAAGGGTATGATATAGTCGGCCCCGTCCGACTTTTGAACCTTCCTTACTGGTTTTACTCCAGGAAACATAATCGCGAAAAGTTACTAGTTCACTTCGAAAAACGTGCCCAAACTCTCCCAAAATATCCAATAAGAGGTACCAATATATAGGGGCTACTCCGAAGTATCGCTACTCCAAAACATACAGATAATTGTTAATATGATTTTCTACTCAAAATCGATATTTTGGAGTTTTGGTTTTCTGGGGGCTGCCCCAAAAATGTATAATTTTTGTGAGGGAGATTTGCCACCCAATAAAAGTCCAGATATAAAATTTTAGTAAATGCAGTAAAGTGTGACTTTAAGTAGTCTGCCGATATTTATGTTTTTCTGGGTACCCAGTTTCGAATCGTTGTCTGACTAAACTACATTTATCTTGTTAGATTTCCTTCCTTCAAAATCCTTGAGATCCTACCGAACTTTTATTTTGGACTAATTAACCACAACGCAATTTTTATTTGCTTTCTTCATTAAAGTCATTATCTTCTTGGTCAGATAATTATATTTATAATACTCCCATTGAATCTGTTTGATCCGCAACCAAAGTTTATATCAACTCAAATCTCTTTTTCCTGTGACAACTTCAAGCTGTTAGCAATCATCGTTTTGAAATTTAATATAATTTCCTTCCTCCCACACAGAATAGAAAAAAACCCATTTTGATAACATCAAATCATATGCAAGTGTTGTCAACATTTAAATGACCACAGACAAAAAAGGAGTCTCATATTTCTTGGTTTCTAAGGATATTCGCCCTGATTTTTACTGGACAATTGTTGTTGTTGTTCGAAAATGGTTCTTTTAATTTCTTCATTCCGGTGACATTAGATTTTTATATCGGATTTCTGGTATTTCAACAACTGTCTCTACGATGAGTTGATTTGTTTTTTTTTTTTTTTTTTGTTTCGTTCTCTCTCCCCCAATGGAAGGAAGGACAATGGATAAAAGGTTTTCATGGTGATTTTTCTTATTGTGTTTAAGTGTGTGTGTGGTTAGTATGTGTGAGTGTGATTGTCTGCCATGTTACTTAGTAGTGTGGTGATGGCGATGATGTTATTTTTGTTGGTTTTTTGGCTCTTAACTTTTCATGTTTTACTTACATCAAATGTCTCTCGTATTTCATTGAGATTCATGTGCACGTTGCCACTTATATTCAGAGTTTGCAAATGGCTGAGACGCCTCACTGACTGCGGTTCTAAACGCACCAATTTGTTATACGACAAATCCAGAAAAGTCAAATTAGTCAAACTAAGAAATGAATCGCTGGGAACTTTGGCCAAACGATTGTAGGACAAATCTGTAAATGAAGAGAGAGAGAGCAATCACAACAACAAGAAGAATAAGAATAGGTTTGAAATGGTATGTAAGGGAGAGAGAAGAGGGTGAACATAAGAAGATTTTTGTTAAGTAAATTTGAAATATTTTTTAAAAGTGGCCGGAGTAATGGAACACAGGCACAGTGGTTTAAAAACTATTTAAGTAAAAAAATGTTTAAAAGGATAAACGTGGATTTTTTAACAATACTTTGTCAAGGACTGTTATTAAGCGTGGATTTTTTTTAAATAATTTTTAAAGGACTATTGATAAGCGTGGATTTTTTAAAAATATTTTTTTAAAAGACTATCAAAAAGCGTGGATTTTTTAAAAATATTTTTTAGTAGACTACCAGTAAGCGTGGATTTTTTAAAAATATTTTTTAATAGACTACAGTAAGCGTGGATTTTTTAAAAATATTTTTTTAATACACTATCAGTAAGCGTGGATTTTTTAAAAATATTTTTTAATAGACTATCAGTAAGCGTGGATTTTTTAAAAATATTTTTAATAGACTATCAGTAAGCGTGGATTTTTTAAAAATATTTTTAATAGACTATCAGTAAGCGTGGATTTTTTAAAAATATTTTTAATAGACTATCAGTAAGCGTGGATTTTTTAAAAATATTTTTAATAGACTATCAGTAAGCGTGGATTTTTTAAAAATATTTTTAATAGACTATCAGTAAGCGTGGATTTTTTAAAAATATTTTTAATAGACTATCAGCAAGCGTGGATTTTTTAAAAATATTTTTAATAGACTATCAGTAAGCGTGGATTTTTTAAAAATATTTTTAATACACTATCAGTAAGCGTGGATTTTTTAAAAATATTTTTAATACACTATCAGTAAGCGTGGATTTTTTAAAAATATTTTTAATACACTATCAGTAAGCGTGGATTTTTCAAAAATATTTTTTAATAGACTAGCAGTAAGCGTGGATTTTTCAAAAATATTTTTTAATAGACTAGCAGTAAGCGTGGATTTTTTAAAAATATTTTTTAATAGACTAGCAGTAAGCGTGGATTTTTTAAAAATATTTTTAAGGACCAACAATATTTATTATTATTTATTTATGACCTACTGTGTCTTGTTCCAAAATGGCAAACCAAAACCCAACCGAATATTCACATACAACAAAAATTATTTAAAAACTTCTAACGAAATCCTTAAAAATAATTTCTTATGCGAAAACTTTGTGTCAACACAAAATTTGTTCTCTATTCTTAGAGACTTAGTTTGGTTTGGTCTTCAACGAAAAATTGGCCTTTGGGTTTTTCACATTATGGTTTGTCAGTGTTTGAATTCCCCGTCAAAGGAAAACTTACCCAAATGTTGAAGATTTTTCTGTGAACGGAATAGTTCATCGACAACCACAGACAATTGATTACCGTCCAATTGAAGTTTCCTTAAATGTTTGATGTCACGAAATTCATCCTTGTCAAGAAATTTAAACTGTAAGCCAAAAAAGGAGAAAAAAAAGAGAATTAAAAAAATGGCAAATCTTGTACATTATCGGGAAAATATTTCAAATCTAATATTTTAGTCATTTCATTTCGTTATTTTTTTTACATTTCATACCTCATTTCTTCCCAAATCGAGTTCAGTCAATTGTGGTAATAAATTGTATAGCTGTGGATTGATTTTCTTCAATTGACAGTTGCGGCATTTGAATACTTTCAGTTGCTGTTCAATAAAAAAAAGAAGAAGAATTTTTGTACAAGAAGTATGAGAAAAATATTACATTGTCATTATTTGGAATGTTGAAGAATTTCTTTTTCATTTTTTTTTATTATTGGTAAGGAAAACTTACAGGCACATCGCGAAAGACATCTGGTGGCAGCTCTTGCAACGGATTACCACTCAAATCCAGATATTTCAATTTGCTTAACATGAAAAATATGCGTTGCACCAATTCCCCAATTGAATTATCAGCCAAATTGAGGCGTCGTAATTCCTGAAAAGATGCAGAGATGATGGAGAAGTGTAAGAAATTCGGCGGAAAAAAAGATTACAAAGATGTTGGCATGAAAAAAAAAAAACTTAATCTAAAAAATATTTATAGAAGAAATTTCAATGAGAGTGGATTAAAAAAAAATATATTTTTTAAAGAAATATCAATAAACACAGAAATATTTATTTTCCCAAGGACAATCACTAAGCGTAAAATTTTTGTAAAATATTGATGAACTATCCGTAAGCGATTATTTCGTAATACAATAAAATAAATTTTTCAAGGGCATACAATTGGCGTGGATTTTTAAAATATGTTTTCCAAGGATTATAAATATGCGTGGATATTTAAAATAATTTTTTTCAAAGATTTTAAATAGTCGTAAATTTTTTTAAAATATTTTTTTAAGGACTATAAATAGGCGTGGATTTTTAACACATTTTTTTCAAGGACAATAAATTGGCGTAGATTTTTTCAAATATATATTTATACCCTACACAACTATGTTGTCAGGGTATTATAGCTTTATGCAGCCCCAAAAGTTTGTAACGCCGTGATATATTAGTCCTGGACCCACCTTTAAGTATACCGATCGTCATATCTCGAATAGCTGAATCGATCTAGACATGTGTGTCCGTCCGTCCGTCTGTCCATTATAATTTGTAAACACGATACAGGCCACAGTTATGGACCAATCTTCAGGAAATTTTGCATGTAGGATGGGTTCTGGCCAATGAAGACCCCTATTGTTTTAGGTAAATATGGGTTAATATTTAGGGGATGAAATGGACCAAATACCTAATTTTTGTCGATTTTTCTGGTCGCTCCAAAGGCGGCAATTATGGTCCAAAGATCTCGAATTTTTACATGGAGAAGGAAATTGGTCCAAGGAATAAGCGTGCCTATTTTGATAAAGATCGGTCAATATTTAGCTGTTCAAATGGAACCTGACTTTTGTGTAAAAAATGACAAAATTTGTATTCTCTAGCGTATATATTTACTCCTGAAGGACATAGACCAGAGAAGGTGATAGTATATACAAGAGGAGTGGTTGGCCCTTAAAGTGATACCAGTTGTATTGTCGTATGTACTCGGAGTTACACGTAAATGTTTACAGGTCCTTACGTATTCAGATATTATTTAATAAACCATTACCACACTAGAGGGCGGAAATTAGCGCTGATCGCTTTGAAAGTTTTCATGTGGTTCTGGTTATGGTCAAGGACAACGCCTATAATTTTCGGTGATGATCAGATAATAATTTTGGAATGAAGTGGACCAAAATGAAGTGGACCATATTGGTTTTGTATGTTTTGTTTTTCTGGTCAATGTATAGTCCACAATTAAAAGCCGAACATCACAACACAACCCTCGGTGAAAGTAATATGGACAAATAGGTAGAAGGACTGCACTGAATATTAGTAGAGGTGTAAAGGGTATCGTATGGTCGGCCCCGTCCGACTATACTGCTCCGCTCACTGGTTTTAAATATGTGTGGGTTTTTTAATATTTATTTCAAGGACTATAAATAGGCGAGGTTTTTTTTAAATATTTCAAGGACTATCAACAGGCGTGGATATTATGTCTTTGTGCATATGTTTGTAACAGGCAAAAGGAAACGAGATAGACACATTGTTCCTTTTGAGAAAATTCATAGAATCACTTACTGAGTCGATTTATGCATGTCCGTCCGTCTGTCCGTCCGTCTGTCTGTCCGTCCATGTATTTTTGTGAACAAAGTGCAGGTTGCATTTATTATCCGAATATGATGAAATTATGTACTTGTCACTTTTTTGGCCCAAGGACGAACCCTATTGAAATTGGGAAAAATCGGTTCAGATTTAGATATAGCTGCCATATATATTTTCGTCCGATTTAAGGTAAATGGTGTACCAAAGTCCCTATACAGGGTGAGATGAAAAAATTGCAACCAACTTCAGACGGCAGTCATTTCTAAGCCACTCGTCCGAAAGCTGTTAAAATGTTTCCAGTGACAGCTCATTATATTGTTTATAAGCGTACAAAAGCATTGTGGTAAGAATTTTCCAGAAAAAAATTTTTCTTGATGGAACAGAAAGAAAATAGACTGAAAAGGGCTAAAAAGCATGGACGAAAATTGTGAACTGTCGAATTTGGTTTTCTTCAATGAGAAAACATTCGTTGTCCAGCAGTTTGTAAACAAACAAAATGATCGTGCTTACTTGCCAAAGAGGTCAGCTGAAAATGGCGCCGGCCATGGTGATGGTGTGGGCCGGCATATCAGCCGATGGTAGCTCTTCGCTCGTATTAATCGAATATCATCAGAATAAATGCTGAATATTATCGCGAAAAATTTCTGGAGGGTGTATTAAAGCCTTGGGCACTCAAACATTTTGGCCGCAGACCTTGGACATTCCAACAGGACCAATCTGAGTGCGATGGTGGACGCGCTACCCA